AGGACAAAGTTTAATTGCAATTGATACAGAGAATGATCAATAATCATTCTGATAATTTCATATACATAGAGCTATTCTGAGGTTGTCATCTGAAATAAATGATTGGTGATTTAAATTGTTCTTGTGTTTAAAATCATTTAACAATTCTTGCCTGGTCAAATCGTTAATATTCTGTAGATGATTGTAGGAACTCTTAGATTCATGAGTTCCTGACAACAATGGCTGTCAGATGTGTTAGATGTGGATTTTAACAATTTATAGATGACCCTATAGAAACTCTTGTTTATGCTTGAATGCATTTGCTTTAGCATTTAATGAATCTTTCCAGTAGGTTAATTCCTTCATTTTTGTTAGTTGCTGATTAAACAATCAACACAAAATAACCATTGGCAGAGATAACAGGAAGATCAAAACTTCCATTTTACAGACATGTGAATTTCCACAAATTGACCACCTGGTAAGTTTGGGATCTTGGATAAATCTAGATTTTGATCTTATGGAATTGCAAGGTTCATGTGTTACTTTCATAAGTACATTTCCAGGAATTTGTGTTGGCAAAAAGAAAGCACATAAGAAGACCCTAGATCATTTTAGGTACTTACTACATGCCAGTTGCTCATAGTTCTCATTATTGCTCCTGGTTTCTGCTAAATCTGGAAAAAATATTTTTGATCAAGCTAACATACCCATCAAAGGCATTCTTCCTTAATGTGTAGTGTTTTTGATCTCTAGCACATCTTTTTGATTCTCCGTCTCTCTGTTTATATCACCATCTGTTCTTGCAAGCTGTTTGCTTTATCTATCACAGTCAGCACACTGCTCATGGTTGCTTTCAGTTCCCAATGTGATCATTCCAATATCCCCACTCTAATTGTGAGGTTTTTCAAAAGTGTTTCCTTTTGGCACAGCCTTGTAATTATTTTCTTTATTATCAGACATGATGTACCAAGTAAAAGGAACATCTGTAAATAGATTTCTAGTGTTTTCTGGGATAGGTGGGAAGGGCATGAAGGATGCATCCCATATTCCTACGAGATCTCAGTCCTCAGCAAATCTAAGCTGTGAACTTCACAAATGTTTCTCATGTTATTTCACCCATCCTTATGTTATTTCCCTTACTCCAGGTCCATTACACTAGCAGGATAGGTTCTCGTTAACTGTTTCTTCTGAGACTGAGGCCTTGTTAAGAAGTGTTCTTTACCATATTTCAAAAACTTCCTTTGCTCCAACCTTAGTCAGAAGCAGGAGGGGATTTTTCTCCAGTATTTAATGTGGAAATCTCGCCGGACTCCTGAAGGTAATTCTTTCAAAATACTGTGGTCCTCTTGGGGGTTTTTAACCCTCAGATATATCTGAGAATGGGTATGACACATTGCAGCAGCTTGTCAACTGCCGTTGTCTTCTTACCCTGGGACAGGTCCTGCACCATCTTCTGCTGTGAGTCTCTGCTCCAGCAGACAGAGCTCCTGTGCCTGCCTTCCTCTCCAAACTTGGGAGCAGCGTGTTTCCCTGTATCTTCTGTATCTTAGGGAGCCAAGAAGAGATGTTGAGTTTTCATTTTTACCCTTTCGCTGGTCATAGTTAGAACACACTGGAGACACCCACGCTCCTTTCATGTAGCAAAGACACCAGATTAGAACTTTCATGCTGTGTTTGTGAGAGGTAGTGTTTTCTACTTTCCTTTTCTTCTCCTTAAGAAGCCTGAGTTATGAAATGATTTTCAAAGCCTTTCTCCATCTTATCTTTCTGTGAGAGTATATACAAAGTAGGGTATTTTCCTTTGTTGACAATTTGAGAGGATTCATCACCGATGCGATCCAGCTTCAACTTTCTTTGATGGTGGTGTATAGATAAAGTTTTAATTGCTATAACATTCTTTCTGTCAAACAATTTTGGTAGAAGTATTTTTTTAAACCAAATTTTCATTTTATGTATATTCTCAATTTATTAAAACTTTTTAAAGAAATGTTATCATTTTAAAGATTTATTTATTTATGGATACGGAACGCCAGAGGTACAGGGGTGAGAAGGATTCAACAGAGACAGAGTGGGGAGCAGAACACGTAGATTGGCAAAGTACACTGCTGAGGGGAGCAGCAGGCGAGACAGGAGAGGTCTGCAGTGCCATGTGGGTCACCTCACTGGCTTGGGATCGAACTCAGGCTGAAGTGGCTAGCTGTGTCCAGCTTCACAGTGCTACATTTTAACCTGCTGCACCACCAGAGAGGGCCCACTTTATAACAATTTTAATAAAAATGTTATAAAATTTAAAATATAAAATTTTATAACTTTTTTTATGACCTGGAGGACCTACAGCCAAGACTATTTTCTATTTTTTGACTTTAGTAGTTTACCTGTTGATTCCTGATAATCTTTCTAGTTAGTAAGTTATGAATATTATGAAATCTTTTGAAATGATTAAAAATATTTTTTCACTGCATGACTTTCATCCTTAATTTTGATTGTATTTTTATTATCTTTTACTTAATTTTCTGTTTTTCTCTAATTTACTAAATATAGTCTTGGGGGCCTCCCTGATGATCAGGGGTTATGTGTCAGTGCTGAGGCCTGAGTTTGATCTCCAGCCAGGGAGCTAACCCAGACCTCTCCTGTCTTACCCACTGCTCCCCTCAGCAGTGTATTTCAGTAAACCTGCCTGTTCTCCTTCCCACTGTCTCTGGTGAATCCTATGCACCTCTGGCTTACACCCCAACCCTTGTGTGCATAAGTAAATAAAAATAAATGTTAAAAAATAAAAATAGAATTAAATTATATTCCAAGTTAAATTATATTCAGCTTTGTTTTAAGTATATTTAATCAAAGCTATAATTTAACATCTGAATACTTAGGATTGCAATTGATGCAGATCATATGTGATCCATTTTTAATCTTTTTGAAATCTTCATACAGTTTTTCCCTAGGGAATGTATCAGCCTAAAGCCCACCAACAATGTAAGAGTGTTCCTTTCTAACCACATCCTTGTAAGCACTTGTTTCTGTTATGGTTGATATGGCCGTTCTCACAAGTGTGAAGTATTACTCATTGTGGTTTTAATTTGCATTTCCCTGTTTTGATGAATATTTTTTTTATTACAAAAGTTTATTTTTATATCATTTTGTACATTTTTTTTCCATCTCGATTGTAATCCCTGTGGGTTTCCCATTACCAAATCACCCATGTGCCATCACCATAATCCTGTGCATTCCCCCCCTCCCCCGTTTTTGATACCATTCCCCACTCCACCCCCTCAAATTGTCTCTGGTATATGGCTGTTCATTATTTTTGTTATTTTCTCGCCTGGTCCATTATACTCCTGCTATGAGTGAAACCATCCGGTATTTTTCTTTCTCTTTCTGGCTTATTGATGAATATTTTTTTGTTGGCCAGCATTTGTATTCTTTGGAGACATTCCTACTGAGCTCTTCTGCTCATCTTTTGATTGTGTTGTTTTCTTTCTGTTGAGTTGAATGTGGTCTTTAATCTTTGATATCAGTTCTTGCCAAATGTATTTTCTCCCATTCAGGAGTATGCCTTTTTGTTTTGGTATTGTTTTTTTGTTGTGCATAAGTTTTTTGATTGCATCTTCAATGAAATATGTTCTTTCACTGAAGGTTTTTCTATGTTCTCAATTCTCCTGGCTACTGGAGATTAAAGCATTGAACAGGTTTGGGGAGGGGCATATGACACAGTAAATGTGAAGATCTAAAGCAACTTTTTTTTTTTTACCACCCTATGTGCAATCAGGTGAAAAGGGCACTTTTTCCAGGTAATGAGCAGTGATTTCCTCCTCCATAGTCTACAGGTAGCTTCTGCTTTTCTTCCAAATTTCTTCACTGATGGCTTTTTTTCTTTTTTGTTGGCACTCAAAATTTGACTTGTTTATATTTTGTTTTTATTCAAGAATATACAGAATTATTCCAGTTCAGATATGAAGGTCTAGCTCATACTCTGTCCCAGATTTGGGTCACCTTTTTAGCGCCAAGAACATTTAGCATAAAGAAACCCTCCCTGAACGTTTGGTAATCAGACTGGAAAGAGAGATGAATTCATCAGATCTGTGTCCAACTAACCAATGATGCCTATATATGCTATGCACTCACAGCCTTGCAGAGAAAAGTTTTTGTTTTAAGCTTTTGAGTTTTGACCTTTGAAAGGTTCCTTCAAGTCCTGTTTTGAAATGCTACCTCAAAAGCCAGGAAGGCTTTTGAAGTCACAGGTAGTTCATCCACTAGTCTCATTGTAAGGTTATTTAAATGGAATTTTCTGTCTTCAAAAGGGAGACTTTTACCCCACTCTGCTAATTGGACGATTTTCTCCAGCAAACTTGTAATTAGACATCCTTCCTCAGTCAACCATATAGCTGTAAAGATGTAAGTGTAGATACCTTTTAAAAATCTAAATAAACTTCCTGATAGGTGAAACCCAAGAAAGTTGTTTTTCTTAAAGTCCTAGTAGCCAACTTTTTGAAATGCAAATATCAAAGAGAGTGACCTATACCAGGTAACTAGAGTTAAACTAAATGGTTTGCTCCAACACAGAATTTTATTTTTCCTTTGGATAATGGCAATCCACTAACATATGATGTCACTCCAACGGTGTGTATTCTTCTTGCAGGAGCACATACACAACATGATTATATCTGCTTGGCCGTATAAAAAGGGTGCGCTTTCCTTAGCGATTGCCCCTAGCGGCCCACCCCAGTATGGTTTAACGCATGCCGAGTAACAGAATCCTTTTTTTTTTTTTTTTAACCCTTTGCCTTTTTTGCATTTGTGGAGATTTTACAATTTCCATTTTTGCTTTTACATCTTACTATCCCTCCCCGCCGCCGCCCTCCCTCCCCCTCCACCCTAACCTTCACCCCGACCCTCATCCTCACCCTCACCAACAGCCTACCCGGACGGTGACTCGCTCTGGGTTCTTCACTCTTCCGACCCAGAACCACGACTCCCAGCATTCCCAGCGCTCCCGACTTCCTCTTCCGGTCTGGGGGCCGCTGAAACCGAAAGTGTAGTGCTCCGGGCGTCGCGCCTGGGTTGATTCACCTTCACCTGTGCGAGCCCGGGCTGACCCAGGTGGGAAGCCGGAGCCCAGCGACCATGAATGGAAGAGTGGATTGTTCGGTGACCGAGGAGGAGGAGATCAATCTCACCAGAGGTCCTTCGGGTATGTGTGGAACGGGTCGTCTCCGAGTCGCGCACTCGCGGGGTAATTGCCGAGCGGGCTCCTCTTCTGCTGAGCCACATTCCTCTGGCCTCGGGGCAGGCAGGCCCTCCCCTACGGGATTCTGCCTGGCTGTGAGTACGCAGAGTGTGTGGGCATCCTGGGCTAGCTGGGTACGTTCGGGAGGGTTTCTTTATGCTAATGGTACTAGAAAATCCCTGCGGTGGGGTGGGGGTGGGGGATCCTGCCTTTTGGCGTGAGCACCACACCCCTCCTTCGTTTGTCCGCTCTGTCCCTGTTAGCAGAGGCTTTTCAGTGTAAGTCGGATCTCAGATTGTAAACGAATGCATAGCCGTTTTTCTTTGTCCTAGTACCCCTCCTCCCCTCCTTTCACTTCTGGGAAGTTCATTTCGAGTGTCAACTAGAATGTTAAAGCAGAAACAGACCTTAGAGATCTGTTACAGCAGTTCCCAAACCCGGTTCTGCCCGAAAATCACCCAGGGTTTTTTGGCTTGTTGGAGTTGTTTTTGGCTTAAAAAGGTCAGTTCCTAGGTGCCCATCTCTAGGAGTGTGGATTCAAGTGCAGGGGTGTGTGCATTTTTTACCCCTCGTCCTCTTTCCTTTAGGCCCCCTTCACTTCATTAGGCTCTTAATATTACTCCAGGCTCCTTGCCTTGGATTTTATTGCTTTTTCTTTAAAACTGTGTAGTAGATCTATTAAAATCGTTATTCGGCGATCATCGAGCTCTATTCTTTGACATTTATGGCAGATTAACTTGAATGTTGAAAGCTTTAGTTTTTCATCGGTGAAATGTGCATAAGAATAGAATCCACATTATAGGGTTGTAAAAATGATATGAGTTAATCTGTATAAAACTTAATATGCTCTTGCCATTGGGTCTATTAAAATAGCAATAGTTGCCCTAGAAGTATTTTCTGCCTCTCTTTTGTGCCTTCTATAGCCTAAATATCCCTATTTTTACCTTTGCTCTCTTGTGATATGATTTGAGGTTTGTTTTGGGTTGCTTGCTTAAGACATTAAGCAATTTTGACATTATCCTTTGCTGCAGCTTGCCTGACAGGTGGTGAGTACTATGTATGTGCTACTAATGTTATTGTCAGTAAATAAATGGCTGGCTTAAAACAGTAATTTCTACCAAATACTGACATTCTAAGAGACATCAAATACTGAGTCCTGTCTCTGAAGTGTTTCTGAAAGTCTTCCACTCGTTTCTGTTAACATCACCACTACCTAGAACAATCCATCACTTCTTTACCATCTGATGTTTTGCAGTAGTTTGACTGCAACTCAAAAAAAGATTTTCTTCATACATGTGGCTATCAGAATTATGCACATTTTGTCATCTTTTTTGTTATACAAGTCAGTTTTTTTTTTTGAGAATATAATTCATTGCACATCTACATGGTTTAGTGTGATACTCCATATAACCGCCTAAACTGTTGGGAGATGCTCACTTAATATGCTCTTGACTTCAGTGTGCTCTTGACTTCATTTTACTGTACTTCTCTTTCATTGGGTCTATTAAAATAGCAATAGTTCCATTTGCTTTTGCTCTAGAAGTATTTTCTGCTTCTCTTTTGTGCCTTCTATAGCCTAAATATCCCTATTTTTACCTTTGCTCTCTTGTGATAATGATTTGAGGTTTGTTTTGGGTTGCTTGCTTAAGACATTAAGCAATTTTGACATTATCCTTTTGCTGCAGCTTGCAATGTATTTCCAGTATCTCCTGATTAAAGAAGAGCAGAAAGCTGATATTATCTTAAATTCTAGTCACTGAATGTTTTTAAGGTTCAGTATTACATCACTTCACTTTTTTTTGGTATTTGCATAACAGTGTTGCTTATTGTTCAGCCTACCAGTCACTAAACATTTTAACCCTGTTCATTTTACAGACCTAAAGTTCCTTGTATTAGTCATGTTCTGTATCACTGGAGCTAGACAGAATTCAAGGAATTGTTTAAGAAGACTAAATAAATTTGACTGACATATTTCACCCAAAATGGTTTAATTTCTGTGTTATAAGTACATTTATTCAAAATAAATGGACTTATTCTCTTTCATTTCATTTAATACCTTCCAGTATAGTAGCCATGTCTGAGGGGTTAACTGCCAACCTTTGTTTTGACCTTTATTTTGTTAAATCTCACCTTATTCCCAGAAAGATTTGAGGTATCTGAAATAACTAATCCAGTGCAGCAGGTTTTTATTTTGCTGTCAATAGCTGGAGATATATCAAAATGAGAACTTAAAAGCGAGAAACCCATTAAGTCCAAGTATTTAAGCTTCCACAGAACCTGTCATGTGCTTTGCATTTAACCTTGAGGCTGTGGCTGACAGTTTTTTGATCTGTAAGTTTATGTAACAAGTATCTTACACTAGAATGGTATATTATCTTTGCCCTTTATTCTCTTGATAACAGGATGTCTAACCCTCACAGAATCTATAGTCTAATGGAGATATCAGGTTACACATGTAAAAGTCCAGTTTCAATGCAAAGGTATAAATGGTTAAATGGCTATGATGTGTATGTATGTAATGGGAGAGCAAAGGCTATCATGAGAGGAATGCATTAGTCTGAACCCATAGTGGAAAAGTTCAAAGATTGGAGGCATTGCTAAAGGCCAGATTGATCAATATCAAGAAGGTAGAACTTAGGTTGATTTTTATGGACAGACTTTAGGCCAGTTCCAGGAACAGGGATGGGTATGGCATGTAGTAATAGAGAAATAAATGAAGCATATTCTGAGGTCAGTTGAGTAAGCCAGCCTGGCTAGAAGGGAGGGTTTATTTAGGAGAGTTCAAGGTGATCATTCTGCTGAGATAGGTAAAGACTGGATTAGAAATTATGCTAGCATTATTAATTAATGAAAGTAGGGAAAACTTAACTTTAAATTTCCATCTTGATTCCTTCATTGCTTAAGACTCAATTCAGAGTCTTCTGATAGCCTTCAGACAGTCTCCCTTACCCTAGCTGAATGTCCCCTTATGGGTATCATTTATTGAGTGTCTGTCATCTATTGTCAAACTTAAGTATTTTGGCTTATCTACTCCCAACAAGAAGCAGATGGTGATTATTCCATTTAACTAATAAGAGATGGCTCACCTTTGAACCATCACCATAATCCCTAGTGTTCTTCCCTTCCCTGTTTTGTACCACTCATTTCCCCTCCCTTGCTGTATGCCTCAGATCTATGGTCTGGTTGTTGGTTTTGACTTTTTCTTCATCTTTTGTTTGATTTCTCTATATTCCACATATAGGTGAGACAATCCAATATTTATCTTTTCTTTCTAATTTATTTTGGCTAGCATAATTCCTTCCACTTCCATCCATGATGCTGTGGCTTTCCACAGTGGCTGGACCAGTTTGCATTCTCAACAGCAGTGTAAGAGAGTTCCTTTATCTCCACATCCTCTCCATTATTGATTGTGTCCTGGTGGGCCATTTTCACTGGAGTGAAGTGGTATCTCATTGTGATTTTGATTTGTATTTCCCTGATTAGTAATGTTGAACATCTTTTCATATGCCTGTTGGTCATTTGCATTTTTTCTTTCTAGAAGTGTCCTTTTAGTTCTGCCTGTTTTTTAGTTGGGTTGTTGGCTTTTAATTTTTTGAGTTATCTAAGCTCTTTGTAGATTTTTGATATCTGTCATATGGTGTGCAGATATTTTCTCCCATTCAGTAGGCTGTCTCTTCGTTTTGGTTCTTGTCTCTTTTGCTGTACAGATCTTTTTAGTTTGATGGACTCCTAGCTGTTTATCTTCTCCTTTGTTTTCCTTGCTTCTGGAGAAGAATCCTCAAAGATCTTTCTGAGGCTTATGTCATGGAGTGTTTTGTCTATGTTATATGCTTTGTGGTGTCAGATCTGACATTCAAATCTTCATTTACTTTGTGTTGATTTTTGTATTTGATGTAATACAAAATAAAATAGGTAATAGGCTAGCTTCATTCTTTTGCATGTTGCAGTGCAGTTTTTCTAACACTATTCATTGAAGAGACTTTCCTTGCTCCAGTGTATATTCTTTGCTCCTTTGTCATAGATTAGTTGACTGTATATGTGTGATTTTATTTTTGGGCTTCCAATTCAGTTCCATTAGTCTGTATCTGTTTTTGTTTCAATACCTTGGTATTTTTGTTATAAAGGTTTTGTGGTACTGTTTGAAATCTGGGAGTGTAATTTTCCCCTTAGTTAGAAGAGCTTTTGCTATTTTGGGTTTTTTTGTTTCAACAATATTTGTTCTGCTTCTTTGAAGAATGCCATTGAGTTTTTTTTTTTTTAAGATTTATTTTTATTTAGTTATGCATACAAGAACTGGGGTATATGCTAGAGGTGCAGGGGTGTGTGTGAGGATTCACCAGAGACAAGAGTGGGAGCAGAACAGGTGGATTTAATGCAATACACTACTGAGGGGAGCAGTTTTGTTCTTATTCTTTCTTCCTTTCACCTCAATCCCTTTTGGGTGATAGAAAGCAAGAACTGAATTCATTATATGTTCATCTCTATAATTCTTAAATGTAAGTGCTTTTTAAAATAAGAAATATTGTTTTGTGGAGGGGCATTTAAGTTATAAGATTATGATAGTAACATCACCATTATATTTTAAAACTGTTACTTATTGTAATTAATCAGTGCTACTATTAACTATATTTGATTATGTATTTCCTAAGGGAGCGACACTAAATTACCATCATTTCCACATTATCACAAAACATACTACAATGAACATATTCTTACATTACCCTTTCTAGGTAGGATGATCACAGTGATTCAAACTGAAATGCTTTTGAAATTGAAGGGGACTGTTTTAATTACACTGGGACACAGGTGTACATCAAGACAACCAAATAAAGTAGGAGTTGTAGACTTCCCTGTTTGTGGAAGATTTTCCCGGGACACAATTGATAATCAGCAGTTCTGTGTACTAGGATGGCAGTTCCCTTTTTGGTCATTTCTAGCTGCCTCTGTTACAGTTGGTTGGCACATGCCTGGGCTGATTGTACATGTTCTAAGTGCCACCCTTGCTAGAAACTTTTTATAAGGGAAACTTCTGAAACACAGGTTATGGGCCTACTTAATTTCAACATGTTAAGTTCCCATCCAGTATTGTCCTATTAAGAGATGGATAAACTTTTTAATGTCTTTTATCTTTCAGGACTTGCCATATTGTATATTTAATAATAATTGTGTACTTAGCAATATTTGTTTTTCATTCTTTCTTTATCACACTACCTAGTTTCGGGCTATAACAGGTACCACTAGCTTACTAACAACTTTATAAGCTTACTAGCTTACTTGTATAGCAACCACTGTGCATTCAGATTTTATTTTATTGGATCCTAACTTGTTATATTTTGAGAGGGCAGAATTTGTAATCTTTATTGTACAGAAAAGGAAATTGAGGTTCAGAGGTACATCTTGTTTTAGTCCACATGTGTCTGGTAAGTTTGGAGTTGAATTTAGAATCAGGTCTTTTGACTTTAATATGCTTCTTCAAAATCTAAGAGAACAAAGAAAAGGATAAGTTTCTGTTGTTAAAGCAGGGACTGTCCTGTTTTAACTTTATGTCTTTCTGGGAATATAACTCAGTGTCTGACACATAGTAAATGATCAGTAATTTTTGGGTCTTCTATATGTATTCATATATGTATGATTTTTAACTGGAAAAAAGAAAACTGGGTTTGATTTTTACCTGGAATTTTAAAGCTACTCTGTATTAGGACCCCTGCTAATGCAGAAATGCTGTAAATTACATGTTAAGTTCAGTCCTATAAAGTCTGGTTGAAGAAAGAAACTTCATGTAAGCCCAGGAATTACAATGTTAAAAGATGGTTCATTTACCACTTAAGTAGTGATAGGTTATTATCATGTCTCTGTAATGTGATTTCTGGTGGGAGGGGCAGTAGAAATCAGTTATTTGTTCATTGAAAATAAACAATCAGTAAGATTTCTTCCACTCTCCCTTTTTAAAATTTCTTTTTTTAACTTTGAATACCAGTAGCAGAGTCTGTCCTTTTTCTAACTACTATATTGCATTTAGCAACTTACATGCTTCTTGTTTCTAAGCTCCCCAGAGGCATCTGTAGTGTTTGATGAGGATGTTGGATTTCATTGAAAGATTTTCTCCAAATAGTTTATTCCAGTATTGAAAGAGGCTGGTTGGCCTCAGTTGCCTTTCTCAAGTATGTCACACATTTTGAAGTCATTTCAAAGCTTGCCTTCCTTAATCAGGCTGTACCTGTCTTCCATATTATTTCAAATAAATAGCCACCCTCCCCTTTCCAGTACCTCCCCTGCCAACGCTAGTACAAATTAAGAGTTACCATTTAGTAACTTAACATTTTCATACTCTCCGTTGAAATAGTCATCTTATGGAAGTAGCTCCTTCTATCTTGTATCTTAAATCCTTCTTTTCGTTCACATGTGTAAACTATGCTGTAAATTATGTTTCCTGCTGCATCTCTCTTTGGCCATGTGTTTCCTTTAATCACAGATTGATTTGGGAGTGCTTATTTTAATACTGTGAGGTTTATATAGGTTTCATCCCACTAATAGGGAACATTTTTTTTTAAAGAAAATTTACAAATATCTCTTAAGTAGTTTTTTATTGACACCTGTAGTTGGCTAATGACTGTAGCTACCTACTTTTTAAAATTGTGCCACCAGGTTTTTGCTTTTCACTGCTTTCAAACTCTCTTCTTTCTCTTTGTACTATGACTCCTACTTTCATAGTTCCTGACATAAAGAAAACCCTAGGAAAGTGCCTTTTCTTTTAATACAGCACTAAAATCCCTTTAGGGCTGTAAAGGGATATCTGCCCCATGACTTACTGGTTGGCCCATGCAATTACTATTTTGGTAGTCAGTTTCTTTCCTTTTAAAATTTAATTGTGATCAGAATGCTTAACTGAGATCTCCCCTTAATAGATTTTCAGGTGCACAGTACAATGATGCTATCTGTGGGCACAGTGTTGTACGCCAGATTTCTAAAATGTTTTTCATCTTGCAGAACTGACATTTTATGCCTGTTAACATAGCCACTCATAAAAATGAAGATGAGAAGGGTGGCTGCCAGGGGCTACCGGGTATGGGGGGAAATAGAGAGTTGCTGGAGAGGAAATGGTGAGTTGCTAAGCAATGGGTAGTCCATTTTCTACAGTGAATAAGTCTGGGTAATCACTGTACCCAAGTATATGTTTTTTGCCCTTGAGATAGAAAAGGAGAGAAGAGTGGGTTTGGTGATTTAGTCCTATCATGAAACATCACTTAGTTCCCTTTCTAGTTCCCAGATTTTTTGCCAATACATATACTTACACCCTTTCAACTCAAAATAAAAACAAATAAAATGAAACCCCCAAGATTCCATCATTTACAAACTCACCCAAAGATTGGAGAAGTTTGGAGGAGAAGACTTTGTTAGGAATATCTCTCCCATTGTATTAGGCAGTTTATTTGCAAAGTAGTTAAAAACAGAGCTCCCCATGAACACAGCTAACCCTGTTATGTTTGTAACACAAAAGTCGAGTTGGGTCCTCTAAATACTAGCAACAGCATCAAAGCCAGATGTGAACACAAGCACATCTTATAAAAATCACCATTAGTCCTTCAATGAATAACATGTAGATCATTGCTTTTCTATTCAGTAAACCATGTTAATCACTGTTTGCTTTTTAGTCCTGCCTGATTTGCATGGGCAGACCTAATGTTCTTGACCTGTGTCGATGATGCTGTTCACAGGCCTTGATGTGACTCTTTACCAGCGACAGTACAGTCTGACTCAAGGACATCCCCTTCCCACTAGGCCTTTCTTTTCTCTTTCTCCTCTTCTCTGATCCCTTTCTTTCATCTTCACTCCCATCTCCTTCACAACTCCTCCATGATTTTCTTAGGGCTGGGCTTCAACATCGTCGGTGGGACAGATCAGCAGTATGTCTCCAACGACAGTGGCATCTACGTCAGCCGCATCAAGGAAAATGGGGCTGCGGCCCTGGATGGGCGGCTCCAGGAGGGTGATAAGATCCTCTCGGTGAGAACTGGCTTTGGTCTCCTTCACAGTCCCTTGCTCCCAAGGTCATAGTTCCTATCCCTGACCCCTTCCTTGGGGAGATTCCTACCTGCCTTTTTGGGTCTAGAAATAATCTAGATGGTAGGGTTCAGTGGGAGGAACCTTTATCACTCTTCTTTTCCAGCCCTACCGTAGATCCCGAAGGGTATTATTTGACATACAAGGAAAATTCAAAGTCCAAAATAAGTCGTTTACCCAAGTTCAGAAAAGGTGAAACAGGAAAGGGTGAGCAGCCAAGGGATGAGCAGCCGATGTAGGAGAAAGGAACTTAAAATATAGTTTATTATTCTTGCATTGTACTTGATCACCTTCCTTTTGTTGAGTAACAGTAATGTGTGTCTCCCTTTAATTCACAGGGGACAATAAAAGACAGTAGGAATTAAGTGCCTTTTAAAACTCTGAGCCCTTTTTCCCCCATTATTAAGATGAAAAATGAGAGGGCTGTGATTTGGATATCTGCCTACTGTGTTTCTATTTCACTTTGATAATGTCTCTAGTGAGACATTTTATGGGAACCATTTTTTTTTAAATGTAGTTTCCTCAATGGCAAGGACCAGATTTTTTTTTAAAATAACATAATAGTTTAGTTTTACATCATTTTGTGCCTTTTTCCATCTAGTTGTAATCCCCATGGGCTTCCCATCACCAAATCACCTGTGTGCCATCACCATAGTCCAGTGAACTTCCTCCCCCCACAATTTTTGATCCCATTCCCCACTCCACCCCCATAAAATATCTCTGGTATATAGTTGTTCATTATTATTATTATTATTTTCTCACATGGACCAGATAGTTTTTTAACCTTTTCTGCCATAACACAGTACTCAATAAATGAACAGATTAGGAAATTCAGGTAAACCCAGAAAGGTTGACTGATCCAGAATATGAATGTATTATGGTGGATAAACTACCCCCCCCCCCACTTTTTAAAAGGCTATCCCATTTTAATCTTTCTGTTTTGCCCTTTTTTTAGTCCATTAAACTACTCCTACTATATCATGTTTATTTTTGTGAGAGATACAGTGATAATCTACTTTTTATCTTAAAATGATGTTGAGCAGTTTAGAGGCAGACTATGTCCTATAGCTCCCAAGAGAAGGATATTCTAAAAATATTAGATCAGCTAGGATGGTACATTAAGGAAGACAGTGGGTTGTTTAAAAAAAAAAAGTATAACATTATAGTTAGAAATGATGCATTGTAGGATGTATTGACACATCCCATATTCTCTCCAAAACACCAAGACCTGAATTCCATGAGCAAAGAGGGACTTGAAAAGTATAGGGGCAAAGAAGAGAGCATATTGTTTAAAAAGTTGTATGTAGTTAAAGGTAAATTGTTAGAAAGTGTGAATGGTTAGGAATTTTTTTTAAACTAAGGCACTATTGGGGTATGTCCAGCAGGTATTAACCACCAATATACCAATCAATATGCTATGAACTTTAAACTTAATATTGTAATAACCTTATTAGGTATCTATTATTATTACCACGATTATTCTGCCTATTTCTTAGCTAAGGAAATTGAGGCTTGGTAAGGTCAAGCATTTTGCCCACGGTCACGCAACTACTAAGTGGCAGAGGACTAAATCTTTGCTCTGTCTGAATTTGGAGCCTCTACTATAAACCAGAATACTATATAGCCTCATGAAAAGTGAGAAAGGAGCTAGAATTAGTTATTCTAAACAGAAAGTTATATGGCGAATTAATAATAGATTTTATATACAATGTTATGTCAAAACTAAGCTTAGTCTTTTTATAAAGGGTAGAATTAGAGAAAGGATAGACCTCAGTATGGGAGAATTATTAGATATTCACTGAGACAAGGCACCTTTTTTTTGTGGGCCATTTTGTCACAGAGAGAAGAAATATTGAAAGCCAGTCAAGTTTTTTGAAAATGTGTGGCAAGAGCTAAATGTCAATAAAGTGAAAAATAGATGGTTAAAAGACTAAAAATGATAACAAGGAGATTTGATTAAAATATGGAAATAAAGATCTATTCAAGATATTACATACTAATTTATGTAAGACATTCCAAAGAATGATTGAAGTTTATGTTCTGGCCAGCTAAGGAAAAGACGTGAAGGAAAAGAGGAGGAATGACAGAAGAAGGAAAAAAAAAGTAGAAGACAGGGATGGAGAGAAATAACGAAGAAAGAGAAAGAGGAAAGCATACATCTACAAGAGGAAAAGTCCAGCACAGGCTTTTCATTCTTTCTAGAGCTATATTCTTTAACTTGTTTCCCTTCCAAGAACTTGCTCCAAAATTCTTCTGCCTCTGTTACTGCATGTACCGTCCTGCTCCCTCGCCATCCTTCAGTGAACTCAATAGGTATTAACCACTAAATGGTTCCATTTGTTCTTAAGCTCACTTTATCTGTTTGATATACTTAAGTATTTGGTGGCTTTGAGTGACTGTAAAATAACACAAATATTTATTAGTTTATATTCCCATTTATTCTATATAATCTTTCCAATTATATGTGATATTATTATATGTGATATTCCAATTATATGTGATAATTACCCACCTTGAAAAATATGCCCAACTATTTCATTTAATTTTTGTTAGATAATCAAACTAAAAAACTTTCTTGTTAATAATGTATTAATTTTGGATAACTAATAGAAGGATCACTAAGTAATCTAGATATCTTGTGAGTTGTAATTGACTGTTAATCTTCCCATTTCTCCCCAAATAATACCCATGCCTTATCTTAATTTCAAGCTCTAAAATTAAATAACCTCCTTAATTATCATGCAGTTTCCTCTTTCTCATCAAAAGTGAAATTTAACATTTTATGATCACGTTGAATGGAATAAACTAAGAAAGATAAGTTTTTAAATAATGTAAGTGATTTTTAAGGTGCGTTTGCATCTGCAAACATGAAGCAAAACCAGCTATTGCCAGTAGAAAACAGACCTGAGGTTGAGATGAGAGCTGGAGGTTCCTCACTCAAGTTCATTTTGTATAGATGATAGTGAAGATGGCTAATATTTTATGTACAAGTTACCAAGAAACTTAGGGAAATTTTATTTTTGTGGGGGAAAAAAGTCAACTGTCTTAAGTTTCTTATTTCCCCTGTGTGTGCCTAAACAAAAAAGGTGGATAGTCAGCAACAGTCAGTTTTCAGTGAGCTCTGTATTTTGATGAATTTCCGGGTGATATATTTAATTATTGTACTACACAAATGAATGTTTCATTATATAACAACAGATTGGGCCATTAATCAACTACAGTCATTTTCTGCAGATGCAGTTATTAATTGTGGCAAACATGAGTTGAGTAGTTATCAACATTTATCAGCTGTTGAGGATTCTGCAGTACTGTGCCAGGTGATATGGAATTTAAAAGAAAATGAAAGCCTGGTCTATTTCCTTAGCTTAGAAATCAGTGGGAAAGACTCACCAGAAACCCTCATACAAAGACATGGAAATACACAGAATCCTTTAGATAGTGCCTCCAGGGAAGAAGAGTCTTTATCTTTTCCTAGCATGTGTCCCTGACATGTAGGTCTCTAGCTGGCATTGAGTAAGCATCTGTTGTGTTAGCTCTTCTGTGAGCACATTATGTTATAAATGACGTTTTTTGTTTGGACTTGCTTCTTGCTTAATTGAAACTAGATAATATATTTCTTCCTTCAACTTTGATGATAAAAGAGACCCTCCCTCCTCAAAAAAATTTTTTTGATCCATTTCAGGATCTTCATAAAAAAAAAATTAAAGCATCCAGATTATATTCTAAGGTCAGCGTTTTTCAAATTGATCCCATTCTTTCTCTACATCTACATCTCCATTCGTATTATCCTACAGTCAAAGCTCTTGTAGCTCTCAATATTATCCTGAAATATTAACCCTATCCTGAGATAATTCAAAATTGCTAATCACTAAACCAAGTCAAAGATAGGAAATAGGTAGCTCATTTTAAAAAGACTTCCCACAGCCATAGATAAGCAATAAACAAACAAACAAATAATAGTAATGTACACTTCCCTTTAATTAACTGGAACATTGCCTTTCCAGTTTCCTAGACAGTCAGCAAAATTTTTTAGCATGTGGCAAATCTACCATAGCTCAGCTCCAGTAAAATTTAAACTACGCCACCAATTAAGGAAGCTGAAGTAACAAGTGTAACAGTATTCTTAAGATTCCTCAGTTGTGTCACTTGTGGTACAAAAAGTGAAATCCAAGACCTGTCTAGCTATAATCTAGGAGCTTGTTAGAAATGTAGAGTCTTGGGAACCTCCCCACACTTAACTGACATCAAAAACAGCATTGTAATAAGATCCATCGATGAGTAATCTGTGAGTAAAGACTGAGGAACACAGCTATAGGCAGCTGTTTTCAAGCTCTCTCAATTACGACCTGTAGTGGGAAATACACATGCACACGCATACACACACACACATATAATGTGGTGATTAACAAAATACTTCTCTCTTCCACATGTGATGTATATGTTGTATTTTCTTACAATTCCACTTTTTAAAAATTAAATCATGGTCTTGACCCCACTGCACTGAGTTCAGAATTTTGTGTAAATGGTCAAGAGACATATTTGAAAAATCACTACTCTAATAAGAATTCTCTAATGGAGAATTCCTGATGAAATCTGGATGCACAGACTATGTATTAAACCAGTTCAGCAGACTACATGTAGAGAACCATTCAGAAGATTGTTTCGAGCAGTTTAGGATAAAGCTCATATTTTAAAATCACTTGAAGGGCTTGCTCGACACAGAATGCTGGGATAAGACCTAATCATTGCACTTTTAACAAGTTTCCAGATACATTTGAAAGGCTTTTGGTATGTGTTAGTAAAGCTAGTGATAAAGAGTGGATTTCACATATATTCAGGGATAAAATGTGTAGAACTTGGAGGTTAATTAATATGAGCTGGAATCTGTAAAATGCTTAAGAGTAGTTAATATTGAAAGCAAATTCAGCTTTGTAGTAGAGATGACTCCCAAGCATTAAAGAATCATAATTTATTTTATGGGGCTGGTATATCTTGGACAAAGGATGAAAAATATTTCATTGAAAAAGAAATTCCCTTTGTATTTCTGAAAGACCTCTTGTTTGGGAATATTTAAAAAAGTAATTAGAATGCCTATGTCATTAACATAAATACTTGTTTTTTTACAACGAGAAATACACTTAGCACATAGACTAAATTAATTGAGTATTCTCACACTGAAATTAGCAATCTTACACCTATCTCTGCCCCCCAACCCCACCGAAGTAATTAGAAAATGAGCCATTGAAATTTCATTGTGATGATTCTAGAACCCCTGAAGTTCTTTCCCTGTAGCATATCAACTAAATGAACCAAGGCATAATCGAAAGGTGGCTTGTTAGTATAAAATCAGAATTATCAATTAGGAAATCCTTTATTACATTTCATACCAGAGTTAGGATTGATCCTATTCAGGATTAATCTTAGGAGATAAGTAGAATATTTTAAAAGGAGGGAGTATTCATTTCAGGTGGCGGATTCAGCTGCAGGAGAGGTGTTTTATGTTCCAGGGTCAGTGAGGTATGTGATTTAGCAAGATTTTCAAGGGATATATGAGAGAGTTATGAAAGGTTAAATAGGGAAGGTAGATTGGAACCATTTCCTAGAAGACTTGGCACACTAAACAGAAGTATCAGACAACCACTTTTTCTTCCCCTTCTCCTACATTTGTGTTTGTTTTTGAGTGGTAAAGTGGTGTAAAAAGACCTGCGCTTTAGGAGAATTGACCTGAAGACGACACAGTGTTTGAATGGGTTAGAATGTGGGAGGACATAGACAAAAAATTCAGGGAAAAGGTGACCACAGTGGTTCAACTAAGAGTATCCACAGTTAAAAGAGAGACAAAAGAAAAGAAAACATAGCATGTGAGGACTGTCATGTTAGATGATAGGATCTGTCAACATCTTGTGTGTGAAGATTGATAGAGTGAACAGAATTTAAAAATATTGTCAAAATTTCAGTCTGAAAGAGTGGTAGTGGCAATTAAGAAGGAAGTAAGGAAGTAAGAATAATCTGTTTTTTGTTTTTTTCTTTTTTTAATAATAAAAGAGGCCTGGCAATGTTGGATTGGAGTCTGGTACCCAGGTACCAGTACCCACTAGGAAATTGCAAATTCAGAAATAGATATTTGGATAAAAATTGGGGTGTTGACTTACAGATTAAGGTCAAAATAGTAAAAGTTCATCATAGGTCAAAAGATAAGGGGACAAAGAGAATATGGAGGAATGTTTACTTACTTTGCTAAGGAAGGAAGAGGAATCAGGAAAGAAAAAAACACAAAAACAGAACTAAGTGTTTATAAGCTAAGACTGGAGAGATCTGCAAAAGAGAAGAGAGAGTCTGCAGACTGAAAAAGAGCAACAGTATTTGGTGATTGGAAGTCACTGCAGACCTTCAGGGCAGGAAGTTCTTCCCTTCAGAGGCCTCATATGTTATGCAATTATAAGGGAATAGGAGTGAATGGAGGCTAAGGAAGAAGAGGCAGTGAGTAGAAATAGCTCTTTGAGGGCCTTTCCTGGTGGTGCAGTAGGTTAAAGCACAGCACTATGGAGCTATCTGCAGCCTCTGCAGCACGAGTTCAATCCCGGCCAGGGAGCTGACCTACATGGTGCAGCAGACCTCTCCTGTCCCGCTCGCTGACACCCTCAGCAGTGTATTTCAGTAGATCTGCTCCCCATTCTGTCTCTGGTGAATCCTCTCACCCCCCTGCAACTCTGGCCTGTACCCCAGTTCTTGTATGCATAAATAAATACATCTTAAAAAAAAAAAGAAATAGTTCTTTTAACTATGTTATACAGTGAAAGAAAGAGAAGATTGGAAGAGGGTGATAGTGGGTTTCAAGAATTATTTCCATGGTTTTCTTTATAAGTGAGGAAATTTTAGTTGAGGATAGAGATAATTAAGGAATTGAAAGGAGCAAGCGACTGCTTCAGTATTGTGAAGAGGCTAGAAAGAATTTGATCAAGAGAACAAGTAGAGGTTTTGCCCAGATAAAGAGAATAGAGTTAATTCAGAAAGAAGGGGAAAGCAGCAGTGAGTGAATATCAAGAAACTTTGAGGGAGGAGAAAGGAAAATGATGAGAATGTTTGGAATAAGTTTTCAGTATTCCCAAGAAAGAAAAGATAAAGAAGAGAGAGGGAGTTGGAGTGGGGATTTGGTGGTAGAAAAGATCTGGAACAGCTACCGCTAGGTATACTTTAGGGAGTTTACCAGATGAAGAGGGATTTTAATGATATAACAGAGTCAGCAAGCATGGATCTGTGTATCTTTCTCCAGGAATATTAAACTCAGTATTGACAAGGAAATTAAATGGAGTGTGTAGCCCAGTACTGTAAACATGGGAAGAGACCATGAGGTAAAGGGAGTCTGAGTTTACCAAGTGCTTTGTTGAAATCACAACAGGAACTCCTAAATGAGTAAGGATTCAAGTAAAGTCTAAAATGGTTAAAGATACTGAAGCAATAAAGAAGACATTCAGTAGAGGAATAGGAAGTATGAAGGGAACAGAAATTGTCAGTTTTTTAAGAGCTTAAGATATTGGAGCTGAAGTATGTTTAATGTGGAAGGCCAGGACTGATGCCAAAAGGTACCTCTAACATAGAATAGAGCTGGACACTACTGTCTTGGGAAGGTAGACAGTCTGTAAGACCAAAGATAGAGGACAGAATAGAGAAACAAGTATGAACATCTTGGGGAGGAAAGGTGAGAGAGTTGAGTAAGTCAACACTTGAGCTTCATCTGAGTAGGGAAAGCTAGTAAGTTGAGGTTAGAAGAATAGTAGTGCAGAAAGAACAGTAAAATAAAAGTGCACTTTGAATTTCCTTGCAGTATTTAAAAGCCCTCACTCTGGCTCCTACACTTGCTATGACTTTGGGTAAAATACCTAACCTTGCTAAGCTTTAGGAAAACTAGATAAAAATAGTTTGGACCTTTTAGGATTATTATGAAAATTAAGTCATTTAATGTATGTAAAACATCTAGTGCAGAACCTACCAAGTAAACACATTGAATGTTATTGTTGCACTTGCTGTCACCGGCATGTGTAAAAGAGACGTGGCACTTGTGTAAAGGAGGCTATACCGTGTCATGAGGTGCAGCCAGCATAGACATCACTGGTGGCCAGTCTCATTCCTCACACTAAAATGCTAACACCAGTGTTCCTTTATACTTGCGCACCAGTAAGTCAGTAACTGACCTGAACTCATACATTTTTTAGGAGTTCATATCATCACAAAAATGCAGTTTTGAGTAAATTTGAGGGCGATAAGAGTATCCATGGAACTAAGGGAAATTGTTCAGTATTTCAGGACCAATGGAACATATAGGTTTGTATCGCATCAAAACAAACTGTGGGAGCTTCACAGATTTCTGTTTCTGGAGTTGAAGCTGGCAAGCCCGGGGTTAGGGATAGAAAGTATATAATGGCAACCTGGAAGGCCATGTTAGCTCTAGAGAAGCAAGCTGATGCTCATGGAAAACATACCAATGCAGCACCAGGGCCTTGGCTACCAAAACAAGACAGGTTGTAGGACCTCAGAAAGGAGAGGCTCCTTTTTTAAAAAAATGTATGTGCCCTTTAAATGGGCCATGGAACCTCACTTCTAGGGAAACATATAATGAAAAAATTTCTGTAAGTTCTAAGTGACTGCCCGTTTTCCTGGCCCCTGGAATTTGCTCTGTGGGAGTTTGTTTTTTAAATGTTTGGTCACATGACAAATCTTTGACCTGGGAGTTGGCATTCTATCCCTCTTACTGCTTTTCCTTATTTTTGACAGGTAAATGGCCAAGACCTAAAGAACCTGCTGCATCAGGATGCTGTAAACCTCTTTCGTAACGCAGGCTACGCTGTGTCCCTGAGAGTGCAGCACAGGGTACGTGTCCCTGGAGCCAGCTGCCCGCACCAGGCTTTTGTACCATTCCTGTGAATACACCCTCTGATGTATCTTTATTGGTGTATTTGGCTTTTGTTGCTTTCATTCTCTTTTGAAGAGCTTCCCTGGTATAGGTACTCTGGAGTTTCTGCTCATCATTAGAGGAAACTCTTAAACGGTGTGTTTGCAACACAGGTCCTAGCTTCAAGGTAATGTTTCTTAAAATTAAAGCTTGAAAACCAAATTGAAATTTAAAAATACGACCAGAATTGATTTTATATTGGTAATAGGGAAAGAAATGCATGTCTGCCCTTGAACATTCTCATTTATCAAGCTAACAACAATGTTGGGGTTTCTGATATCCGCAGCATGCTGTTCTCCTTTTCTTATCACCTTGGTGTCCTCTTGACCTAAGGATCAGGGCTCAACAGGAAGTTCCAGGGAAAAGCAAGTTCATCAAGGCAGCCCCCATCCCTGAAGCCACTACTTAGTTTCCCGTTTTAGAATTCAGATGCTAGGGAGGGAAGCCTGGATAGACATAATCCTCCCATACCAAGTACCAAGGATTTTAGAGAACATGTACAGCACAAGCTCAGTGTCCCCCTTTGACATGAATGAGGCTACAGAGCCTGAAGAAGAGTTCAAAAGGAGATATTAAAAAAGTGGAAAGGGCAAGGCATGAAAGATAATTAAGGAAAAAAACTAGTTACTAACCAGTTACATTCTTCTTGTAATATAATAATAGGGAGTGACAGGTTAGAAAACAAGGTCCCTAGAGACAGTATTGGTAATCAGCTGCTTCTGCCTTGGCTCTTCTTTGTTTCTAAATCATGAAGGAATTTATGCAGGAGAAAATGTATGCAATAGATGAAGGCAGAGTATTATAGGGAGAGTATTTATGCACTTCAGATATGATTGGAGTTCTTTATGAAGGTGTGTGGGAAGTGATGTCCAGTGTTCATTTTATAGGAAGTACCTATAACTAATACCTGGTAAAGCACATCCTGGTCAAGGAATTGGCCTTGCCCTAAAAACCATGACTTTCTGTTGGACATGACCTCTCAGAATATCCCATTAGGAAATGAATGAAAGCTGATGAGGTGGGATAGTGTGGAATGGTAGTTTGTGCAATCTTGCCTTTCAGACTGAGAGATCAATTTCATGGATTGTAATAACTGGCTAAATCTAATCAAAACAAGATAGCACCATAGTTCCTGTAAGTTAGCTGTTGAAAGTTAAGTTGAGGCCCTCCCTGGTGGCGCAGCGGGTTGAGGCACTGCACTAAGAAGCTGAGACCACTTCCACATGAGTTCGATTCCCGCCTGCCCCGGAGGTGACCACATGGCGCGGCAGACCTCTCCTGACCCGCCCACTGCTCCCGCAGTGTACTTTGTCGATCTGCCTGTTCTGCTCCCCACTCTGTCTCTGGTGAAGTCTTTCGCCTCCCCTGAGTCTCTGGCCTGTACCCCAGTTCTGTATGCACAAATAAATCTTTAAAAAAAAAAAAAGAAAAGAAAAAAAGAAAGTTAAGTTGAGAAAAACCAACCTTAAAAATAAAATGACTAAGATAGAGAAAGACCATCAGCCACAAAAGGGAATGCTTGGGCATTGGAAAGTGACAGCCACTAGGATGCGATTCTCTTTACGTACTGAGTCATTTGCCTTTGCTGCATATATGTTAAACCTTTATCTGTGGCTAGTATTATAAAATAGGCGATACTGAACATCACCACGTACACTAGGGAATGGGCACCCTTTGGGTATTGAAAGTACTTGCATTGCACTGCATTAACATGACTCAGATCTGCTCTTATTGCACTCTGATCACTGACAATGTTCCTAAGTAAACATTTCTGTGGAGAAAGGTGGGGATACCCTCCTCCTGCCCAGTAATTGCCACATTGCTTATTGTGTCAGTAAGCTTCATTGTAACTTTATTTTCCTGAAGGCTTGGTAGAGGCAACAGAGAAACAGAAGTTACTTGACTTAGAATCCCTTTAGGTCTGCAGCATGATGAGGTTAGATGCTTTCCATCGAGCTATTTTGTTTCCAAAGAATCATTGACACAGACATAACAACTCAAGACAGAGTTCTGCTACCTGTTAGTGCTTTTGGGTTTGTAGGTTTGACTACGCTAGAGACCCTAGACCCAGCATTATGTCAGTTTGAACTTCTCCCTGTGGTTAATATATACTAGACACTAGAGTTAACATTTTCCTTTCCCTTCCAGTCACCGGTGCAGAATGGGCCGACAGGACATCGAGGTGAAGGAGAGCCCAGTGGTCCTCCCATAGCTGTGGTGCTGGTGCCATTGTTTGCCTTCACCATGGTACTAGCCTGGGCCTTCATGAGATACCGGCACCATCTTTGAGAAGCTTGTGTTCTTTCAGTGCTCCTGATGAAGATACGTTTCTCTCTTCTCTCACCCTCCTCCCCTGCCATTCTTCCATATCTTTCCCTCTCTCTGCAAAGCCAACACATGGTTTAAAAGAGACTGCTACCCAACCAGAAACTTGCTGTTCACAATTTACAAATCCTCGTATTCAATGGGAGAGTAAAGTCTGTTTGAAGGAAAGCTGAAGAAAAGACTTGCTTACAACAAATTACATGTTTTACTAGCACCACCAATGGAAGTTAAGCTGCAACCCAAAGAAGAAAAGATCCAGTCTTTTCATTCCCATGGGTAATACCTCTTTTCTAACTGGTGTGCCTCAAAGACCAGCTGTGTGATATAAGAGAGAGGATTTTTCTTTTTAATGATCTTCCTTGGGAAGTTCCTGTGGCCTTTATTTAGTTTCAAACTACATACTTGGGTGCCTAGATCAAAAAAAAGAGGAAGAAAGAAAGCATTTTACTTTTTTAAAAATGCAAATATATGTATGATGTATACATATGTGTATGCACACACATGCATATATTGTAGTGTAATGGTGATGCCTTATGTAGGTGGAAAGCTGCTTTGTGATTTCTAATGCAGGGAATGGTCTTTATTGAATCTGAGTGGGCCTTAAATGAAGCCCAGTCAGTCATAAAAATGAAAGAAAAGAACACTATAACAACTAATTAAAAATTTTAGAATATTTTTCTCATATTGGCTGTGATGAAGTTGAGGTAAAATGTCATAACCAAACTTTGCACAAGTCAACCTGTTCTAAAAACTTGAAGATGTAAAGATAAATCTTACAAGTCTCTGTATTACCCTAGTGTCTCTGGGAATCTTACAGCCGTGTTAAAGGATCTCCTGGACTGATTGCGGACAGAGCTACGTTGATGGTGCCAAACCAACCCAAAAGAACTCTAGAAAGGAAAAACTGTGCCTCTATGGTGGCCAGTATTTTTGGTTTCTAGTAGCAGGCAGATTCTGAGAGGACAGCTTGCTTCCCTGAAGGATGGGCATGAAATCAGCTGTGCTTCGGTTTGGTTGAAAGGGGTTGGATTGCTAGTTGTTATTTTTTCCTTTTTCTTTTAATTTGTTGTTGAAAGGTTTTATACTGGTTATGGCTTCTAACGAATAAGTCGTTTTGGTTGAGAGGGGTTTCGTTTCAAGGGGTAGGGAATTTTGTTGAACTTTTCATGGGGAAACCTTGAACAAAGGATTTGAACGAATGTACAACAACGAGGAAGGAAGCTTCCTTCTTAGGTAGCATTGGAGGGTGATTTTAAAGCACTAGGGAGAGATAACAGAGGCTGACTTTCTGGCTTCAACGGAAGTATTTCTATGCTCCATATTTACAGCCAGATTATAGACCTATATAATCTCAACAGCAAAAGTGATCACTTTCCCACAGGCAACCAATTGTGTCCAGTTTTTAGCCTGAGTAATTTAGAAATTTTCAAATGTTGATCAAACATCAGCTTTGTTAAAACACTTGCTACAGAGAAGCAAAATATATATCCAGAGAACACAAGTACATATAAAAATGACATTGGTTCACAGGCAGGACACTGTAAATTGCTATCAAGTTTATGTTGCAGATAGCCAAAGGAAACATGAGAATTGAGAGACTTCAGGCAGTTCTATGGATGAAAGGGACAAGATAAGGAAATCAAAGTCTAGTTAAATGAATTCATAAATAGTTGAAAAGTTAAAAAGTAATCAACAGTTGAAAACACTAAAAGAAATGACAATGAAAAAGACATGCAGACAACCATCATTTTTTATTTTGGCATGAGGCCAGAGTGGAGAGGGAAGGCTTTTGAAAATAAAGATCCTCGAAAGACCCTCCCTCTGGGATCAACTGTTTGTTGAGGGAGCAACATGCTTTAAATAACCCTGATAAGACTTGGTGGCTTTAGACCTGAACGTTTGAGCACCTTTGAGACTCACTTAGAAAACTGCACTTAGAAAACTCACTTAGAAAACAGCTTCCCCAGAGAAACGCTGACAGTATTGCAGTTCTCACCTCCACAAGCCCCTCTGTAGAGTGCAACCTCTGGTACCTTCTGTGTCTGGAGGCACGTGCAACAGCGTCTGCAGTGGACATGCTTCGTCTCAGGCTTTGACGCTCATTCCTGAGAGGACCTTGACATATGAAATGAAGTAAATGGCAAGCAGGGAGGAAACTAGTTTTTTTTTTTGTTATATGTAAATAAAATGAACATCTGTCCCATCATTGGTAGAAGTTTTGCTTTGACTGATAATAGGGATTTTCATGCACTTTAATAATTTAGCTTGTCTTGAATTAAATAGCATTTAAAGATCAGTATATTAAAGCTTTAGGCAAATATGCTCTTATTTAGGCAGATGTAAAAGTAAATTATTTTCGGCCCTCTCTGGTGGCACAACAGGTTAGGATGTAGCACTGCAAGCTGGCCACAGCTGCTTTAGTGCGAGTTCAATTCCTGGCCCAGGAGGTGACCCACATGGTGCAACAGACCTCTCCCGACCTGCCTGCTGCTCCCCTAAGCAGCGTACTTCGTTGATCTCCCTGTTCAGCTCCCCACTCTGTCTCTGGTGAATCCTCTCACCACCCCTCCACCTCTGGCCTGTACTCCAGTTCTATATGTATAAATCTTTAAAAAAAAAAAAGAAAGTAAATTATTGTCATAGAGGAGTTATCTTTAACTGTAGCATTTTTTTAGCACCTAAATTGCTGTTTTTCAAAATTGAGTGAAAGTATTTTTAAGATCATATACTTAAAACACCTCCCTATACATATCATTTATCTTGTACCTGTAATGCTAATAAGACATTGTTTGCTTTGGTGTCCTATTTTCTTTTCCTGATAAATATTAACATGTGCTGTTGATTTAACATAATCACCCTGTCTAGCCATGTGCAATGGAAATAAGAAATTAATATTTGTATTCTGTAATACTTGCATTCTGTGTTAGGTTCTGTACTAAATCCTGACTGATGCGTTATTTGTTCATAACTCAACTCTGAGATCTGAGTATTGTTATAAAGACACTAAAAAAGAGAAGCATAAATTACTTCAGATTACATAGGTAGTAATAATAAAATCAGGATTTAAACTCAGGACTTCAGGTGCTATAATCAGTAAAATTTCCTCACTGGTAGTGTTTCTTAAAGTGAGGTCTCTGGACAGTGTGATTACCTGGGCTTCATAGGAAAACACGTTCTTTGGCTTCACCCCAGACCTACTGAGTTAGAAACTGACTAGGGCACCTAGCAATACTTGCTTTAATGCTTGTTTTAAGAATCCTTCCCGGTGATTAGCTCACACTACACAAGCTTGAGAATCAGGCTCTTTGCCCATACTTAGCTCCTCGGATTAGAATATCCTAGAGAGCTTAAAAAATTCTGCTGCCCAGGCTGCACCAACTAAATAGTATCGCTGGGGTTCCTGACAATAAAACACAGTGGTTGGTTGATTTTAGTGTGCAGCTTCAGTAAAAAATACTGACATTTAAGTATAGCACTAACTAGTTAAATTGCCCAAAACATTTTCCTATTCAAAAAATGAGGATTTTTCTTGGGCATATTTAGAGTCCAGCTGTACATGAGTTGGAATGTGGAATAGATGGGAACTTTCTCTGACTTTTGACTTTCTCTGGGCAGGCCAACCCCCAGCAAAATGTATTATAGTGAGTGAGTGAATGTGTTCTCCACTGAAATAGAGCCAAATCACAGAACACTGGAACGAAAAGGGAACCAGAACGTTTCCAGAATGGGTCTGTCTTGAGATGAGAAAATGAAAGCTCAAGGACGTGATAGTAACCCAGATCCATCAAAGACTTTGTTGCGGAGGTGTTCTTTATCTACTGCATGAACGTACATAGATTTATCCTTTATCAGTCCAATTCCATCTCCACTGGTACTGAATAAAAGACCTAAGAATTGAATGACAGCTGAGGATATATATTAACAGGCATCATGCAAAATTGGGAGGTTTAACAGAAAAAGATGTTCATCTCAGCCAGATAAACATCAGAGATTAATTCCACTTGCTCTAAGATAGAATCTTACACCTTTTGATGTTAGACACTAATAACTTAAAATATTTAAAGAGTATGCACTGATAGAGGATTAGATAAAGAAGATAAAGATCCCCACAGTGGTGTTATATTCAGCTATAAGGAAAAACGAAGTGTTGCCATTTACAGCAAAAAGGATGTTTGACGAAATTATGTGTAGTAAAACATGTTAGAACGACAGGAAAATATTTGACTTCTACATGGCAGACTATTCAACAAAACAAAATAAATTCGTGAGGGTTTT